GGCTGTTGTTTATGGGCAGCCATCAAGGTACAGGTAAGCCCCTCTCCTGGCCTTGAGCTTGCCAACAGACCCTCGGACCTGTCTCACAAGAAGTTTGCTGATGAAAACTCTTCCGGGCAGAGCACAGTAAAATAGCACCAGGTATGAAGACCTAGCGAAAGCAATGTAAGTGTGTTGCACAGGCCATGTCTGCTACAGGTGCCGTGGAAAAGGAAACTAAGAGTTCTTAGGAAACAGAGATGCACCAATCCTCCATGTAGGAAAGCAAGCTATTACTTTGAGGAGAGGAAAATGTTAGTGAAGATATAGGTAGAGAACCAAGGGGATTTAAGGAAGCCTGAACTGTAAGGGCCAAGCTTCACTGAAATTTCCATCTCAAGGGATGCTGGTGAGAAGAATCTAGAAAGCAGGCTTCCTGCCATGTTGCAGAGACGCCTGAATTAGTCTTAACAGAAGAGGGTAGTAGAGAGTGTGGTGATCCAGAGCCTCTTTTCATTTCTTCTTTTAATTTTTATTAATACTTGTTTTCAGGTCATAATAATCACATCCATTGTGGGAGTTGGTCCATGTGCATAACATATTTTAGTTCTTATATATTAAAAGAGGAACAGTTGTTGTTAACTCTTATAGAGAATCACAGCTCCTCAGAGAAATGTAGACGAGTCCTTCATAACTGCCAATCTGCAGTAAGGTAGTAACTAGCAATGAGATGACAGTGATCATCTAAAACAGTGTTGCAGGGCTGGAGAGACAGCTCAGCTGTCTAAGCACCTACTGGCAAGTGCAAGGACCCAGGTTCAATCCCTAGTACTGCAAGCTATGCTGGCCCCGGACCCCCTGGTGCATGCCTGTAATCCCAGTGCTGGGAAGGCTGAGACAGGAGGATCACTACAGGTCTGAGCTGTGTCATGGTGAGACTAAACAAATAAATAAATACATTTTTTAAAAATTAAGAAAGAAAAAATAAAGCAGTGTTGTATCAGGAGGCAGCAATCCAGTTTTTAAAAGGGTGGTAATGAAAAAATGATCAAAAAAGAGTTAAGAGTAAAAAATTTCTGCAATAAGATACCTGACCTACTTTTCACATAGTTTTAGAAGCAAACACGTTGGAACTAGCAATTCTGTTATGATCCCTCATTCTAATTTGTCAGCTGAGCAATTTCATTGAAGTTCATTAAACTTTCAGAGTTATATATATATATATTGACTGCTCTTTTCTTCCTCTGAATCATTCTCATCCTTACATATACAAGGCATCATCTCTTCTAATGCATTTCCTTTTTTATTCTTCATTTTTTATGTATTTTGTACAGTTTCATTATGCAACTCAGACTCTTAGTGATCCTCCTGTTTTCACTTTGCCAAGTGCTGGGATTAGCCACCATGCCCTGACTCAGTCCCTGAGGCGAAGTGCACCCCGGGGGCAGGGCCCGCACAACGTGCAGGAGCAGGTGCTTAGTCCACTGAGCTATCTCACTGGCCCTGCACTTCTTTCTTTTTTTTTTTTCTTTCATGTATTTTGGTACAGGGTCTACAAGGTCTCACTATATAGATTGGACTCAAAGTGATTCTCCTGTTTTCAGCCTCCCAAGAACTAGGATTACAGGCATGCCACCACACCCAGTCTTAATCGTGCCACCACACCCAGTCTCAATTGCTGTCTCAATGCACCCTGGAGGTGGCACAACATGCTGGGGATCAAACGCAGGCCGCTGTGCTCTAAGCAGGCACTTTAACTTACTGAGCCATCTGGCCAGCCCTCCTGCAGTTCCTTTTCCCACCTCTTTTGGCCTTACCAATTTTGTTGAATAGCTGCTTAACTTTAGCTTTTAGGTATCAAATTTTTGTTTGATTTAGTACTGAGGTTCAAACTAAGGACCTTGAGCTTGCCAGGCAGGCACTTTAGGTATCTAATTTGAATGTCAAAAGTCCTGTTATTAATTTAAATCCTAAATTACTTCTGTGAAGAAGTTTGTGCTTCCTTGTTTTTCCATTCTAGATGGAAGCTCGTTTATTTTTCAGAAAGCATCTTCTTTGTCTCTAAGAAAGGCAACACACTGTGCCCCTGCACTGCATCCCAAGTCTAATACTTATTCTGAGCTACAGGACCATGGGAAAGCATGGGGCTTCTTGAATCCAGGGCACTGCAATGTAATTATAATTCATTTTTTAGTCCCTCCCCCACCAATTTTTGATAATTTTTATTTTCAAGAAGTCCAAATATGATTATAGTAATGACCTTGAGCTTGCCATTTGCCTGAGAACAGCAAAATTAATGAACTGTTTCTCCATATACAGGTTACAGGAAAGAATATCACTTAGAGCAAATATTTCAGGGACAGTTCTATGACATAGCAAACAGCATTCACTTATGTAGACATGAAAACTGATGTCATATTTTCTGTAATGGCAGCAGTTAAGATGTTATTTGGCTATTTGTAAACCAATATTTCTAAGATTAGCAGATTAGCACCCATTTCAACAACTCTCCAATCTGTTTATTTAAATAATTCATGATAGGCTGGTCTTCTAAGAAATCAGGAATTCATAGCAAATTTGATATAATTAAAAGATAGAAATGACATGAATCTTCTTCATCAAATGTACCAAGATTCAGAGTGGATGAGTATTTTCTTTTGCACAAATGCTACGTCTTTCCTTTCCATCATTTTCTATAGCTCACTTTTTGTTTCTTTCTCTTCCCTTAGGTCAGTGCTTTGTAGCATATGCAAACATTCTCTTTTTCCAGACAGTATCATTTGTATCAGGAATTCCAGATCTTTCCTTTAACTTATCAAAAGAACCAAAGTTATCATTTTATAGGTGCTAGCTATGGCACAAGAGAGAGGCAATCCACAGAAAGGCAAATGAGGGCCTTGAGTCTCGGCTGGTTAGGCAAAATTCAGTGCAGAAACAATCACTAGTTCCTGGGGCAAAGTAAGCTACGTTTCAACCCTGTTTCACAGAAAACAAGCAGCTTAAAATAACGACAATTTTACTAAATTTTTTACACTAGTTTTTTGAAGCAGCCCAAGTTTAGTTTAGGCAAAGTACGTAGCAAAAATCCAATTCATTGAACAATGAAAGCCAGCTTGCGCGGGGGCCGGGTTTGACTCCCACCCTGCTGTGCCGGCCCGCCTCTAGGGTGCGCTGAGATGGCAACTGAGACTGGGCATGGTGACCTGTAATCCCAGCTCTTGGAAGGCTGTAAACAGGAGAATCACTACGAGTCCGATCTAGTAGTGAGACCTCGAACACCCTGGAGACCCTTCTTATTGGAATTTGATCCTAATGACCCATCTGACATGGAGCCTACATGGAACGCATTTTTATCTTCGTCTTGTGAGGGAATCCGACGTGCAGTGCTCTCGTAATGCTGAAGTTAGTAATGCAGCGGCAGTTTCCTCAGTGCCTCCCCAGGCTTTCATGATGAACACATCACCCTGTGAATTGATGACTACAGTGAGAGCCCTTGGTTCAGCGTACAGCTTTTCTAGTCTGAAGAATTCCACACAAGGGTTATGATAAAAATACGGTTCCTATGTCTAGCCATGTGTTATTTAAATTTAATGTATTTTATTTTATTAGTAGATATTGGCAACACATGAAGTTTAAATTTATCTTGAGGAAAAGGTGCCTGTACCTTGTTTCTTTTTTAATACCCTCCCTCTTCCTGCTCCCCTCCCCTTTTCTGGCTCTAAATCCCTTTCCTGGCTTTCACCCCTTTGTTATTCTTCTTCGCCCATGTTTATGAGGTAATATTTTTGTATTCGTTGTACCTCATTGGCACCCGAAAATGGCGCATGTGGATCTTCTTACTTCTTCCCCCCTGGATCTCGGTCTCCCTCAGCCTCCTGAATCCCTTCCCATTTGCAAGAGATCTATCCCCTTGTTGCCTTTTCTTATCATTTCTTTTGCTTTTTCTTTGCACTTCACCTTACTCAAATGAGAGATACTATATGCTATTTAAGTTTGTATGTCCAATTCGTTTCACTCAGCATTATATTTTCCAGGCGTATCCATTTGCCTACAAAAGTCTCAAAGACAGCCTTCTTTGTAGCCAAGTAGTAATCTAGTACGTATAGATAGCGCTATCTATCTCTATCTCTAATCTTAGAGAATGTTTTTCTTTGTTTGGCAAGATTGCAGGGTGAGTTTGGTCACTGAGACAGGAAAGCGTGTGTTACGCAAAAGAAGTAATTGCAAATCTTGAGAGCTGGACAGAAAAACTCGCAACAGACATTTAGACTGTCAGCCAGAAATTAATATATTTAGTTATCCAAAGTTATCAGCATGTGTTTCTTTGTTCAATGATGGGCTTATAATTACATTTATATCTGCATGTTAACATTCTTTTTTTATTTTTATTTCAGTATCCAGTGATCACCCTTACGGTAAGATAACTGCTAGTTGAAGACTTTTTTCTTTCTGTTTTTGAGCCAGCACTTAAACCTCAAAATCTGAGGGCTGTTCACAGAGGAAGAGTATCTACTTAACACACAAAATTACTTATTTCATGGGGCCATCACCAATAGAATAGATATATTTTTTCTCCTCTGATTATGTTAGCATCCAGTTAATACTGACATTATGAGAGAATAATTTCATTTAATTTAAAACTTGCTTATTGAATAGCTGTGAATGTGTTCTTAGTTTATATACTGGGACAAAAGATGGCCAACATTTAAGAAATGAGAAATTAGCATGTGAAATGATTGAAAAAATATCTTTAAGTATATTTAATGTTAGGATAGAAGCCCAAGTATCTGTTCTCCAAGAGGAATCGGAGGACATGTTTAGGCTTTGACTCAGTACGTTCTTCAGCTACTTGCTGAAACTGCATGATGAACAATAACAACAAATTCGCCCAAATCGAACATGCAACAAATATATTTCATTCATCCTCAGGATCCATATGATAATCGCATACAACAGTGGGTGAACCAGAAGTCTGAGAGTGGTATCCTGCAACTTTCCTTCCAGTTAATCCCAGAGCCCATCCTGGGGTGGTACACGATAACTGTGGAGACAAGCTCTGCGAAGAAAGAATACCACTCCTTCTCAGTAGAAGAGTATGGTAAATACCAGCTATGAGAATTTTATCTGCTGATCAGAAAATCTTTAGAGACCATTTTTTAAGGACAAGTTTACTAAATAACATATTAATAAACATATCTTTTCCTTACCTCTTTATTTTCCTTCTGCTATTGTTCAGGGATTCTTGACCTATCCCTATTTTATACTCCAGTCTTCAGTTCACTATCATCACACAATTCTTTTTTTTTTTTTTTTTTTGAAAGCACTCACTCAGCCCACCCTAAGGGCAGGGTTGGCGCAACATGTGGTGCCAGGGATCAAACCGCAATTCTTTACGCCTGCCTAAGATTTCCTAAGCTTTCCTAAGCAGGCGCTTTTAGACTGCTAAGCTATCTCACTGGCCCATACAATTCTCTATTAACCTGAGATACCTATTTTATCTTCCCTCTGTGATGTTTGGCACTGAGTTTTGTAATCGCTTGTGGTGTATTCAAATTCTTTTTATGCTGTGTTTACGGTTCAAGCACTTTTAGTAAAAGGAATGGAACATTAGTTAATAGGGAGATGCTGTATTGATATTATTCCATGAAATTCCCATTGAATTCCTGTTGTGCTATCTTTATTCTCATTTCACAACGAAGGGTTTGGGGCATACTTTCCATGATCAATGCCTGAGTAGTTACAGATTTGTAATTTAAATCCGTATGTTTCCATCCAATTCCAAAATCTATCTCCTATGTATTTCAGTATCCTCTTAATTTTATTTAACAGCAAGTAGCAAATTTGCATCATTTGTAAGGGTAAAATAGTTGTTTTGCATGAATGTATTTATGTTAATAAGATACTGTTTTTATTTTTATTGACAGTACTACCCAAATTTGAAGTAACTGTGGATGTACCAGAAACTATCTTAGTTGTGGACTCTGAATTCAAAGTTAATGTCTGTGCCTCGTAAGTTTAAATTATGTAAACTAAATGATGTACCTAGACAGTTATGAAGAAGCACACCTGTATTTATAGCACTTGGAGGGCTATAGGAGGATTGTCATGTGTTCAACTCCAGTCTGGACTATACAGTAGATTCAAGGCCAGCCTGTCTGAAACAAACAAATGAAAAAAGATGCATCCATAAATTGATATTACACTGGTAAAAAAAGATAGCTTAATATGAATTTGTAGAGAAGGCAAGAGAAAGGGAATCTGTGAATTTACACTGGTGATTTTATGAATTTATTTGAATATAAGTTATAGCCCATGGTTTTAGGTAACAATTTGACGAGTATTGCATCATAATAGAACACTGTCTTATAACACTGGTTGCAAAAGCCACTGACTGCCCCTACATGGCCACTTATAGTCCAACAAATTTAAAACATAATAAATTTAAAAATTCAGTCCTTCATCTGCACTAGCCAAATGCATGCAACTATAGCTCCTGAATTTCAGCCCATAAACAGAATATTCCAATGGGGTGGTATCACATAGGCTTGTCAGCATCTCAGGGCAAATACAAGATGCTGCAGTGATGCTGGGGTGGGGGGAGAGGAAGCAGGCAGGCAGTTCGAGCTGTCTTCTCCCTCCCCTTGGCTGAGTTACACCATGTAAGCAGAGCTTATATGACTAGCAAAGAGAGATCAGAGGGCAGACGGAGCCTGTGCCTCCTCATCCGTGAGTGACAATGCATTCTTTCCTTGGACACAAGTCAAATTTAATGTACATTTGCCTTCTCATTTTGGATGATTACCATTTTTAAGGTGCACTGGTAATTTCTGATTATACAGAGAGTTGCTACCTGTGTTTGCTTTAGGCTAGACACTTATACTGGGATAGCAGGGTAGAAGGGGCATGGTTAATTTTTTGGAGTCCCTGTCTTGGGTTTCAGCTCCAGAGTCTGAGCATCAGGAGGCAAAGCGTAGAACAGCCTCCTGGTATGTGGGTTGGAGAGACAGGAAATTGCCAGCATAGGTGGAAACATCTATGAGAAATGTAATTCCCAGAGCACAGATAGCTACAGACTACTCTTCTAGTTTTGGTTATAAATCAAATCCTGTGTTATTTTTGCTGGTAATGTTTTGAAATAAATAAAGACAATCTGTGACAAGAGAGCTAGAAGCATAAAATATAAACATAAATCAGTGAATTTTTGAAGATTCTGTCAATTTGAAATCAAAGTATTAAGCTAATTAAACAAATTACACCTGAGAAATCAGTTGAAGATCATCCAGAACTCAGCTTTAAAATGTGTATATTTTAGTGAGTTAGTAGTGCATCTTTAAAAAGAATTAAAGATACAAGGATTTAGCATGCTGATTACTAAAGCAAACGCATGTAGGATGGCTGGGTAAAAGATGAATGATGCTGAAGGGAGACTAAGTAATTTGGAAAATAAAATTTTAAAATTAACATAAAATGTAGCCTAGTGAGATTTTCTTTTTTTCTTTCTTTCTTTCTTTCTCTCTCT